ATTTTAATATAGGGAGTTGGAGGAATGGCTCAGCAGTTAAGAGCTCATGCTGTTCTTATTATAGAGGATCCAGGTTCAGTTCCTTGCACCCACACAGTGGCTCACAGCCATCTGTAACTCCAGTTCCAGGGCATCTAACACTCTCTTTTGCTCTCCACAAGCACTCTATGCATGTAGTGCACATACATACATACAGATAAGCACTCATACACATAAAATAAATAAATCTTCATAAAAAAGAAGTTGGAAATTTCCATATAAAAGGATATAAAAAGATATTTTAATATAGGCTTAAGAGGAGAGAGGCATTCAGAAGAAAGTAAGACATACCCAAGAATGTGAATGTGGGCTTCTCAGAGAGAGAGAGAGTGCAGAAAGGACATACCCAAGTGTGGGTACTGGCTCCTCAAGGGAGACTCACCAGAGTGTTTCTGAAAAAGTCTTCCTCAGGGGCCTGAGAGATGGCTTAGTAGGTAAGAGCTCTTGTGGCTCTTTCAGCGGACCCAGGTTTGGTTCTCAGCATCCATAAGGTGACTAACAGCCATTTGTAACTCCACTTCTAGGGGATCCAACACCCTTTTTTGGCCTCTACAAGTACCTGCATGTATGTGGTACACATAAACTCATGCAAGTACACACACCTACATATAATAAATAATTAAATCTTTTTAAAAATTCTTCCCTAGATGACTTTTGCAAACAGCTCTAAAGGGGTCCTGTCCAAGGACCATCATTCAGCAGATGCTCGTTCTCTACACTTTGGCCATTTGTGACCTTTTGTGTTCCTGGCCCTCTGCTGCATGAGGAGCTTCATTATTGAGAACTGATTCCTTTGTATCCTCTTCTTTATCCTGTTCTGTGTTCAACAGTTTTTAAGCATGTGCTGGAGATCCAAACTGTGGTTGGTATGTTTGCATACTGAGTGTTTTATCCACAGAGCCATTTCCTCAGACAGGTTTTCTGATTTTTTTAAATGAAAAATATAAGATTCAGCAGTTAAAGCAATTGGTGCCAGGTGATACATTTTATCAATGAGAGTGTAGAATCAAATCACATCTGGGTTTTTCAGTCAGTGTTCTAAACCGTTAGGCAGTAACACCTTTCTAGTAGGTTTGGATGTGTCTTCATTAGACAGTCAATACCTGATAGAAAGGAATAAAAATATCTTACAAATGAGTATTCCTTAGATTATCAAACAATAAATGAGATGTTATGCCAGAAGAAACTTCTCTATACATACCATATATTTTCTATCAAAAACAGAAAAAAAATGAATGCATAACTGAATACTTGGAAAGATATAAGATAGATATAAGGTGGTGTCCTCTGTTTCCACAATCACAGCAATGACTCATTTAAGACATGAACACCTACAGCTACTGTTCCGGCATGATCAGAATCCCATTCTGTTTCCAAACAGAGAGTGTGGAACCCTGCTGGACTGTGGAATGCCGAAGGATAATGAAGGATTGCATCCCAGTGCCAGGATTTCTGTTTGGCCAGCCACAGCTATCCATGACGAAGCAGTTTTCCAGCTCCATGCGTGTACTAAATGGTGGGAACACATTTGTGGATCACTCAGAGCCCATTTGAGATGGAGATGACTGAAACTGTCATCACATAGAAACTTCAAATTGAAACACATAAATGAAGCAATCAGCTTGGGCAACAGGGAGTCCCTCCACCTACTCATGTTCACCATCCTAGCAAAATCTTAACAACTTTTTTCCACCAATGAATCAAGATCTGCTTTGAGATACCATTCAATGGTGTCTT